GAGGCAGGAGAATTGCCTGAACCCAGGAGACGGAGGTTTCGGTGAGCCAAGATCACGCCATTGCACATCAACCTGGGTAACAAGAGCGAAACTCCGTCTCAAAAAAAAAAAAAAGTGAAGATAGTCTAAAAATTTACTCTAAATTAAAGGTGACTAAAGAGACACAACTACTAGATTTGAACTACAGAGTGAAATTCTAGTTTGTACCCTGGAAAAGATTTTTGCTAAAAATGACATTATTGGTGTAATCAGTAAAATATAAAGAGTCTAGAGATTAGATAATAGTTTTGTATAGATGTCAATTTCCTGATTTTAGTATTGTAATAGATTATGTAAACAATATGTATGGGATATATTTAGAGATAAGGGGGCATAACTTCTGCAATTTTGTGTCGAATAAAATAATGCATATAGAGAAAAAATGTATATAGAGAAGAGGAAATAATAACGTTAATTTTTTTACTTGATTAATAAAATGTAAGTGGAGAATATATGGGAGTTCTTTGTACTATTTTTGCAGCCTTTCTGTAAATCTAATTTTTTTTCCAAATTTAAAATTTCTTTTAAAGTGGCCTGATGCCGATTGTAATACAATAAATTTTAAAAATCATATGCCACCTGGGCACAGTGGCTCATGCCTGTAATCCCAGCATTGGGAGGCCAAGCCAGGCAGTTCACCTAAGGTCAGGAGTTTGAGACCAGCCTGGCCAACATGGTGAAACCCCATCTCTACTAAACATACAAAAACTAGCTAGGCATGGTGGTGTGCATCTGTAATCCCAGCTACTCAGGAAGCCGAGGCAGGAAAATCGCTTGAACCAGGTAGGCAGAGGTTGCAGTGACCCAACATCACACCACCACACTCTAGCCTGGGTGAGAGAGCAAGATTTCGTCTAAAAAAAAAAAGTAAATAAAAATAAATAAATAAAAATCATATGTCAAATTTAGAAAGAGAGTAGAAAAGGAAGGGAGAAAGAAGGTGGAAAAATAAAATTTATATTTAAAAATAGTGTTTAAAAGCCAATAGAAATTTCATGTACAAAAGAAGTACTGATATTTGATTACATTGTTTCCATACTTGTGGGACAAATGGACCCAAAAGTGAAATAAAGATGCTGCATTAAGCGGGGGGGAGGGCTGACATCTATAATCGCAGCACTTTGGGAGGCTGAGGACGGTGGAACACGAGGTCAGAAGTTCGAGACGAGCCTGACCAACATGGTGAAACCCCGCCTCTGCTTAAAAATACAAAAATTAGCCAGGCGTGGTGGTGCACACCTGTAATCCCAGCTACTTGGGAGGCTGAGGCAGGAGAATCGCTTGAACCCTGGAGGCTGAGATTGCAGTGAGACAAGAGCATGCCATTGCACTCCAGCCTGTGCAACAGAGCAACTCTGTAAAAAATAAAATAAAAATAATAATTTTAAAAAAAGATTCTGCATTAAATCTTATAAATTAAGTTTGGATAGCAAATGGAATATATACTGTAGCCAATGAAATTATTTGGTTTTATATGTCTTTCAATAAAAAATATGGGTTGTTTGTATGTATAGCAGATAAAAGGTTATTACTAAAATGGCTGGGCATTCAAATTGAAAAAATAAAAGAAGAAAATCAAATCTCTTCTTCACTGTTTAAGCATAAGACATAATGCCCAGGAAACATTGATAACACTTCCTTCTATATGACTTCATCTGCTTCCATTGGCTCTCTATCCAATGTCAGCAATTGTCAAGGAGTCTTAAAACTTTTGTTTCTACAACCACACTCATTTTCTTCAGAAGAGCATCTTATGAAGATTATGCAGATTTAACTCTTCAGCAATATGTGAGTATACATTTAATTATATTAATTTTTTATTATTTATTATATATATAATTATATATATATAATTAATGTACAGAGACATAGTAATAAAGAAATACAAATTATCCTGATTACCTTTAATATTCTAAAATATAGAGTTCTAGATTCCAGGGTTATGAATTAAATAGCAGTTTAGATGGATTGATGGTGAATCAATATCTACCTTAAATGCTGAAAGTCTTTTTTCCCTCTTCAGTTTTCTTTCCTATTTATTATAAATACAGCTTTAAAGACATCTGTCTGTGTTTCTTTGCTTTCCTCTGAATTTCTACAGTCACTAATTCTAAGACAAACTTCAAAACGTAGGAGGTTTCCTGAGTCACTGTTTAAAAACTGTATGTCTGTCTATATCCATCCATACATACATCACACTCACTCACATATAATGAAATCATCATGTGATTATGCACCAATGAGAGAAATATGAAGTGGAGCTAATTTGATTTGAAAATCTCTCACTTATATTACTCCAAGCAAACTGCCTCAATAGTTTCTGAATACTAACAACAGCATCATAAATGAAAAACTACCATTTTTGATTGGGCATGATGGCTCACGCCCATAATCCCAGCACTTTGGGAGTCTGAGGACTGATCATGAGGTCAGGAGATTGAGACCATCCTGGCCAACATGGAAAAATGCCATATCTACTAAAAACACAAAAATTAGCTGGGTGTGGTGGCGCATGCCTGTAATCCCAGCTACTCAGGAGGCTGAGGCAGGAGAATCACTTGAACCCCAGGAAGTTGGAGGTTGTAGTGAGCCAAGATAATGCCACTGTACTCCAGCCTGGCGTGATCTCGGCTCAGACTCAGAAAAAGATTCTGAAAAAGAAAGAAAGAAATAAAGAGCGAGAGAAAGAAAGAGAAGGGGAGGTAGGGAGGGAGAGAGGAAGGAAAGAAAGAAGGCAGAAAGGGAGGAAGGAAGGGAGGCGGGGAGGAGGGAGGAGAAAAGAATGGATAAAAGAAAGAAAAACTACCATTTTTGAGCACCAACTATGTGCCAATCACAGTTCCCGGTATTTTACATACAGTGTTTCACTGAATTTTCACAAAAAATCTGCCAAACATTCTTATTCTCATTTTAAAGACAAGGGACAAAGGAAGGTCCACACAGGTTAAATAACTTGCTCACAGTCATCAAACCTCCATCATCAGGTCTAAAGCCTGTGCTGTTTCTACAGTTCAGTGAGAGTCAAAAGGTAGGTCCAAGACTCAGAGACAGTGCATGTTAAATGCTTGCCACAGTGTCTGGCACCTAGCATATATTCTGTAACTATTAGGTACGTTTCCTTCCCAATTTTTCCTTTTCAAAATGTTAAGCAGAAACAGAAATAGAGGTATTTGATTTTAGAGTACTTTAAAGAGCTACTTTTTAAAATGATGCTTTTAACCAAAATCAAGACAGGAGAGGAGAAAAAAAAAAAGTCTGGATGGGCGTGGTGGCTCACACTTGTAATCCCAGTACATTGGGAGGCCAAGGCAGGCAGATCACCTTAGGTCAGGAGTTCGAGACCAGCCTGGCCAGTGTGGTAAAACCCTGTCTCTACTAAAAATACAAACAAATTAGCCGAGCATGGTGGCTGGAACCTGTAATACTATCCTAGCTGGAACCTGTAATCCTATCCTAGCTACTCAGGAGGCTGACGCAAGAGAATCACTTGATTCCGGGAGATGGAGGTTGTAGTGAGCTGAGATTGTGCCATTGCACCAGTCCAGCCTGGGGAAAGAGTGAGACTCCATCTCAAAAAATAAATAAATAAACATACTATATCAGACTGATTACCAATCAGTATCAATTTTTGGCTTCTACCTGGTAAAGGGAGCACAGCATATTAGAAACAGGATTGGTGGTCATTCTTCTATTCATCTATGTAAGTGCTAATTATCTGGTATATGCCAGGCATCAGGCTCTGAGAGTGCAACACTAATGAGACACGGTCTCTGTCCTTACAGAGATTAGGCAGAGGATCTTCCCAATTATCAGACAACTGTGCCTAATGTAAAAAATTCTGTAACATCTGGAAAGTTGTTATGTATACTAAATATACCAGTATCTGTTCATGGGCAAGTGTATGAGACTCAGTTACCTAGCCTGCCAAATGAGTACAATAGTTACTTTTAATAAGCATCATAATAGACAAATTAAATAATTACACAAAATGCCTGGTATATAGCAGGTGTTTAATAAACAATAGTCTAAAAGCACCATGTAATCTTTGTTGCTTTCCAATAATAATTATTTGCAAATTCAAAATATACCCACAAATATGCTTAACTTTCTATAAAAAAAAACCCATTCTGGAACAATATATTATTTATTAAATTATTTAAACTTCATTTATACCCATAAAACAAAATGTATCAGAAAGTCCTGAAGAAATGTCAGAAGGCAGCTTATTGTTAGCTGTGACCAATTTGGCATCCTTATGAGGATATTTATTGCCTGCGTTCTGGGCCAGGTATTAGCCTAAAATGTTGGTGATCCAAAAAGGAAGTGGGCTGCAGCTCACACTCTCAAAAAGCTCACCATCAGGGCCAGGCGCGGTGGCTCACGCCTGTAATCCCAGCACTTTGGGAGGCCGAGGCGGGTGGATCGCGAGGTCAAGAGATCGAAACCATCCTGGTCAACATGGTGAAACCCCGTCTCTCCTAAAAATTCAAAAAATTAACTGGGCATGGTGGCACATGCCTGTAGTCCCAGCTACTCAGGAGGCTGAGGGAGGATAATTGCCTGAACCCAGGAGGCAGAGGTTGCGGTAAGCTGAGATCGTGCCATTGCACTCCAGCCTGGGTAACAAGAGGAAAACTCTGTCTCAAAAAAAAAAAAAGCTCACCATCTACAAAGTACAGAAAAACATCAATAAATGAGTATAAATGTATATACTGTGGAAGTTACTTTAAGCAAAAATAACATCAGTGTAGTTCGTGTACCAAAAAAATGAGTCAATTCTCCATGGAAAGATCAGAAAGTCCTTTCAGAAGAGATCTCATAGCGAAAATTCAGCCCCATTTTGTCCTTATATAAATACTGATCATCAGAAACTTCCAAACTCTATGTAAATACAACTAAAGTGAGTAAGTTGCGGCATATTGTATAATTCAAATGCTGACACGTGTACATTTGACGTTTACCTGCACAGTTAGTTGACACTGTTTTCTGCCTAAGACACTTCTCCACCATTTTTGAATAATTGTTACAGTCCTGTGTAAACGCCTATGATGAAAATGTTTATTAGTATCCTTTCATTGAAACAAGGAGGCTCAGTTAGATCTTCACTTAGAACACTCTACTACAAATCAAGAATTCAAATTCAAAGCCAAGTTCAAAGCCAAGTTTATGTGCACGTTTACAGCGTAGAAAGTTATTCTGGGATAGAATTTATCATTTCTAAAAGTAGAAAAAATGGCATAGGTAACTATTCAGTATTTCTTTTGGGCTTATTATTACACAATATTTAATTTCAATTCCTCTTGAATACTTTAAAATATTTTTGAGTGTCAAGACTATAAAACAGGTCACAGTGACATGTTGAGAAGTAAGCCAGGCACTATTTATGTAAATCATATTGACACTTAGAAATAACTCTTGAGGGCCAGGCACAGTGGCTCAATGCCTGTAATCCCAGCACTTTGGGAGGCCAAGGCAGGCAGATCACCTGAGTCTAGGAGTTTGAGACCAGCCTGGCCAACTTAATGAAAACACACCACCACCCCCCCTCACCACCCCTCCCACTCTACTAAAAATACAGAAATTTGCCACGTGTGGTAGGGTGAGCCAGCAGTCCCAGCTACTCTGGAAGCTGTGGCAGGAGAATTGCTTGAACCACGAGGCAGAGGTTGTAGTGGGCCAAGGTCGTGCCATTGTATTCCGGCCCTGGGCAACAGACCAAGACTCTTTCAAGACTGTCCAAAGAAAGAAAAGAAAGAAAGGGAGGGAGGAAGAAAGGGAGGGGGGAAGAGAGGAGGGGAAAAGAAAGGAAGAGAAGAGGAGGGGAGGGGGGAGGGGAAGGGGGAGGAGGGAAGGCAGGGGAGAGGGAACAGGAGGGGGGAGGGGAGGAGGAGGGGAAAGGGGATGGGAGGGGAGGGGGAGGGAAGAAAGAAAAGATTCATGAGGTTAAGAAATAATTCTCCTCTTCATTCTTTTCTGTAATCCTCAGTCTATCCAAGCCAACATCATGTTAGTCTGATGAACTAAAAAATACTTGGCCCGGCACGGTGGCTCATGCCTGTAATCCGAGCACTTTGGGAGGATGAGGCGGGTGGATCACGAGGTCAAGAGATAGAGACCATCCTGGTCAACATGGTGAAACCCCATCTCTATTAAAAATACAAAAAATTAGCTGGGCATGGTGGCATGTGCCTGTAATCCCAGCTACTCAGGAGGCTGAGGCAGGAGAATTGCCTGAACCCAGGAGGCGGAGGTTGCAGTGAGCCGAGATCGCACCATTGCACTCCAGCCTGGGTAACAAGAGCGAAACTCCATCTCAAAAAAAAAAAAAAAAAACTCTATTTGCCACCGTGTTTCTTAGTTTACATAGTGGCCAAAAGAGAAGACTTGTCTTCTTGGCACCATGGCTCACCCCAGTTATCCCAGCACTTTCGGAGGATGAGACAGGCAGATATCTGAGTTCAGGAGTTCAAGACCAGCCTGACCAACATGGAGAATCCCCGTCTCTACTAAAAATACAAAAATTAGTCGGGCATGGTGGCATGCGCCTGTAATCCCAGCCGCTTGGGAGGCTAAGGCAGGAGAATCGCTTGAACCCAGGAGGTGGAGGTTTCAGTGAGCCAAGACTGTGCCATTGCACTCCAGTCTGGGCAATAAGAGCAAAACTCCATCTCAAAAAGAAAAAAAAGAAAGAAAGAAAAAGACAAAGAAGCCTTGTCTTCACACTTTAAAGTTGCATATCTAGCTCCTACCAGACAGTATAAGGAAGTTTTATATAGGATAATTCCCAGTCTGACGAGTTATTATGAAGTAGGCATATTTTCCTGTACCTAATCCAGAAAAATGTATTTTAAGAAAGACACGGAGGGAAAGTTTGGGCACTGAAAAAAAGGGAGAAAGAGTTAAGAAAGGTACAAATTTCAGTCTCTTGTATGGTCAGTTGACATCATTCATGCATCACTTTCTTTAATCTACCAACATGATGGAAAAGATTGAAACTGTTTTCTCTTTTCCCCCTTTCTTACCAGTCAACGAATTTTTGCTATAAATACAAACCCAATCATTTGTAGATCCTATGGAATATGGGAAAAGGAGTCTGAGCAAGAGTGTTTGTAATATTGAGAATTTTGTTTTATTTTTTTGAGACAGAGTCTCACTCTGCTGACCAGGCTGGAGTGCAATGGCGCCTTCTCAGCTCACTGCAACCTCTGCCTTCCAAGTTCAAGGCATTCTCCTGCCTCAGCCTTCCAAGTACCTGGGATGTGCACCACCATGCCCAGCTAATTTTTGTATTTTTGCTAGAGACAGGGTTTTGCCATGTTGGCCAGGCTGGTCTTAAACTCCTGACCTCAAGTGATTCACCTGCCTCAGTCTCCCAAAGTGCTGGGATTACAGGAGTGAGCCACTGCACCCAGCCAATATTGAGAATTTTAAAAAGAAATATAGTCAATGTAATTTAGTTTTGGTAAGAAGAGATCAGAAATACTATGCATTTCTTTTAAAAGAACACCATATAATTTATTAACTACATTACGAGTAAAATAAAAAATTATTTGAAATAAGCACTTCATGAATAAATTACATTTTCTAAGGGATATATATTTATGACATATCTGAGGTTTCCATGACAAAACCAATGTACCTGATACATGCCCGAACTTGACATCATCGAAACCAGCTCTGGATTTTAACTGCTGCGTCATTCTCCTTATTTCTAAATGAATCTACAATACTAAAACAAAATGTTTAAAAAGCACTTCATTAGTAACTAATATAATTCTAAAGCAAGTCAACCTGTTAAACTTGATTTTTAATTTCTTCCAAAGTGATCATTATAAATTCAAGTATCATTTTAAGTAACATTAAAATATAAATAAATAAGGCATTTCAAAAATCATGAGCTATGTTTTGAAAATTAACATTTTTCTGAGAAGCCATGTGCTTTCAACAACTTTTTTTTTTATTTTGGATAATCACCAATTTAACAATTAATTAATTTACCAGTAATTTTTATTAGGGAGTAAGAAAGCAATGTGTTATTTTGACATTCCTTTTAAAATATAATCATTTGAATTTACTGTTTAAATGCTACTACACATGTACCATGCAAGACTAAAATACTTCACTACTCACATACTTCACTAATTTATTAGTTAAATGAGTTGCCTCTAAGTAAAATGAATCCATCACAGAATGCCTGTTCCATTCATAGCTGGAATTCTCAGAAAGTCTGTTTAAGTTAAAGGAGGCAGGGGGAGGCCATAGGGCTTATACAGAGATAAGAAATCCAAATCAGTGATCCAGATGTGAAACACGTACAATATAGGGAGAGTTCACACAAATCCGTAAGATTACGTAAGGTATAGATTAAGTGTAGGATAAACTGTAAGAACCAACACAGAACAGAAAACCAAACACCGCATGTTCTCACTCTAGAGTGGGAGTTGAACAATGAGAACACATGGCTACAGAAAGGGGAACATTACACACCCAGGCCTATTGGGGGTAGGGGGTTAGGGGAGGGATGGCATTAGGAGAAATACCTAATGTCAATGATGGGTTGATGGGTGCAGCAAACCAACATGGCACCTGTACACGTATGTAATAAACCTGCACCTTCTGCACATGTACCCCAGAACTTAAAGTATAATTAAAAAAACACATACACACAAGAGAATATATAAATAGCTACATTACCTGATAATGAATGGAAGGCACTATGGTAAGATTACTACACAATGCAATGAAGTCTGCTGGAAATAACTAAGAGTGGAAGACCGCTCTAGACAGGAGTGGGAGGAAGGAAAGATTCCTTATTGTTGTATATTTGTACTGCATGTAACAAATGACAGATATTTTAGTAAGGCCCAGCGCTGTGACTCATGCCTGTAATCCCAGCAGTTTTGGAGGACAAGGTGGGCAATCACCTGAGGTCAGGAATTTAAGACTAGACTGGCCAACATGGTGAAACTCCATTTCTGCTAAAAATATAAAAATTAGCTAAGTGTAGTGGTGGGCACCTGTAATCCCAGCTACTCAGGAGGCTGAGGCAGAAGAAGTCCTTGAACCCGGAAGGCAGAGATTGCAGTGAACTGAGATCATGCCACTGCACTCCAGCCTGGGTGACAGAGCGAGACTCCGTCTCAAAAGAAAAAAAAAAAGAGGCTTGACTAAAGTGTATTCTGGCATCATATTATTGTACTCCATGTGGGAAGGAAAATAGCTTAAAGTCCTTTCCTCCAGAGAGCATTCCCTGACTTCCCAGACTACAATTAGGCCTTTCCATGTTACAGTCTCATAGCTCTTCATAATATTTACCACAATCATATTTAAAAATTATTTAATGATGGTCTCTTCCACTAAACTTGAAAACGTCGAAGGCAATAATCTTGTCTATTTTGCCCCATACTGTATTCCCCATGGCCTCAGGAGAGATCACTGGTGTCACTCCTAACACTCAACCTTTGTCTTACCAAAGGCACTAGCTGAGGGAGAAACATGCCTCTTGGCATATTCCATCCCAGTGAGAAGTGCCACTCACAGGCTTCCCTCACTAGATCTACTCCCAACATTGAAACCTTTCCCTAATTTAGGATGACAAATTGCTGAGGAATCCATGAGTGCCCTATCCTCTTTGTAACTTAAATCCTGGGTGATGATAAGAAAAAGACAGGCAAACGTGAAAGGAGCTGTTGAGAGAAATAGAAAAATTAAATATATTTTACTAATTAAAACTTTATGTGTCAGGCACAGTACCCAACATTTTACATACCAGTGAATTAACTCATAGGTAATCCTTTCAATACCTCTATGAAGAAGAGAATTATTATCCCTATTTGAGAAAAAAAGCTACCGCTGTGGAGAAAGTATTGTAATATACCCAAGGTCACATCTATAGTAAGTGTCGTAGCTGACATTTAATCCTTGATAGTCCTGCTCCAGAGGTTGGGTTTTTGTTTTTTGGTTTCTTTTTTTGAGACGGAGTTTCGCTCTTGTTACCCAGGCTGGAGTGCAATGGTGCGATCTCGGCTCACCGCAACCTCCGCCTCCTGGGTTCAGGCAATTCTCCTGCCTCAGCCTCCTGAGTAGCTGGGATTACAGGCACGCACCACCATGCCCAGCTAATTTTTTTGTATTTTTAGTAGAGACGGGGTTTCACCATGTTGACCAGGATGGTCTCGATCTGTTGACCTAGTGATCCACCCACCTCGGCCTCCCAAAGTGCTGGGATTACAGGCTTGAGCCACCGCCCAGCCAGAGGTTGGGTTTTTAACCATCACTGCTTCTAAAGGAGAAGAGAAATGAAGAGAGGAGAAGAAAGGGAAAGTAAAATGAAAGAAAAGGAAAATGCAAAAAAAAAATTATGTAGGGGCCGGGCGCGGAGGCTCACCCCTGTAATCCCAGCACTTTGGGAGGCCAAGGCGGGTGGATCACGAGGTCAACAGATCGAGACCATCTTGGTCAACATGGTGAAACCCCGTCTCTACTAAAAATACAAAAACTTAGCTGGGCATGGTGGTGCGCGCCTGTAATCCCAGCTACTCAGGAGGCTGAGGCAGGAGAATTGCCTGAACCCAGGAGGCGGAGGGTGCGGTGAGCCGAGATCGCGCCATTGCACTCCAGCCTGGGTAACAAGAGCGAAACTCGGTCTCAAAAAAAATTTTTTTTTAATTATGTAATTAATTTCCAAATATAATATTGAAATTTTGTGGCAAAAGGTAGCACCAATCTCCCTAAGACAATAAAAGAAACAGAGACTAAGAATATGAAATGATACCAACATCTATAGCAACACCCCAAAATTTTAGACTGTACCAAGTGTTAGTGATAAGCACTCATATATATTGCTGCTAGGAAACAGTTTGGCCTTTGAACATATACAGAATAGTTTTATTTACATAAGTAAAAACCTTACAAAATTTTAGGGATGTTCACTAGGATGTATACACATGTAGTAAAATAATAATGAGAATGATAAAATGCAAATTTCAAGACAGAAAAGAAGGATGGGAGAAATAGGGAGATTAATAGTTGATACCAAAGCAAAAGGCCTTGGTTTTCAGAGTTTTGTGCATATTAAGGGATTCTAGACTCCGTGAACATCAACGTTTTGGCCAGGGAAATACATATCCTCAGAGTTTGATAATCTCTGTAAAGATTTACAGTAAAAAATACTCAATAACAACAATTTAAAAAAAAAACAAGGTCCAATCATAAGATACAAGTATAGTGCAGTGTCACAGAAGTTAATGGGAAGGCACCAAGATGGGAGACCATGACTATGTTAAACCGTGGGCGGAAGTCATGGGAAACAAGGTGGTTATTCAACCAGTTGCAGGATTAGACAGAATCTTTCATTTTTATTTTAAAATCTTATTCTAGCCAATGACAAGATGGGATAGTGGAACAAAGAAACTGTCATTAATGACCAACACGGAAAAGATACAACAACACGATGTCCAGTAGAGAAGACAACTCAAAGAAGAGAGATGTGGAAAAAATAAGAATAATTTCATTCAAAAGGCTAATGTGAAATAAAATTCATGACAATAGAATAGAGCTGTTTCTTAGGGTTATTTAAACCTTTTACCATTAATATTTAATACAACTAGATTTGTTTTTCATCTTCTTAATATAGTCAATTTAAACTACTGAAAACATTTGTTTCTCCTTTCCCACCAACAATCAACTTACTATCTTTACAAAAATGGAAGAAAAATATGAATAAGTCACATAGATATATCTAATAATTATTTTGAAGTTACTGTATTAGTTACTAATGTATTAGTATGAACTCACCCTTTATTTATAATTGTCATTAGAAATGCAGAAGAGAAGCAGTCAAATTAGCTGTTTTGAGTTAATGTTTTTTAATTTCTCCTGATGACACTGGTCAAGTAGAAAATTAAATAATTTCTTTTTGGGGTACTAAAAATGTATATACATATATTATGTATATATATATACACAAGCACATATTATATTAATAAAAACTATACATTGCAATTAAAAGGAAGGAGGCACTAAAAACTAACTAGCAGTTAACGTACTGCTAAACTTTAACTTATGTGCCAAAATTTCATTTCTATACACGTTTTTCTGTTGCCCATTTTTTAACTGCTTAAAAACAAAATTTACAGATGCTGGGTTACCACTGGGATGCTGAATACTCATACAATATGTCATGAACTGCTAGACATTTTATGTTTAAAATGAAAAATGTGGGTAACACTTTATTTTAATGGTATATTAATTAGTTCCAAATTACAGTGAAAATCCTATAGCAGTGAATAAAATATGACATCTACATGAATTTGAAATAAATTTATTATGATCAGTATTATCACAATGAATACTAAATGAATTAATAATGATGAAAGACCAAAAGTATTACCAGTAATGTAATAAAACATCAAGAAATAGCTGGAAGTTTCCAGTCACTTCATCATCAACTAGAAATAAGTACTATAACCCTCAATAACACTATATTCATGTATATCATTAGTGGCCAGAAATTAACTGACAATAAATAGAAAATGAAAAAAAGTGTGTACTTAAATACCTTTCCAGTAATATGCAAAAAATATGCATTTTACACATCAACAGACTGCTTGGTCTGACCTACGTATATTATCTATGAATAAATACTAGATTAAAAACTCAATACTCTTTCTTTGTTATTATCATATAACTTGTAACTATTTTAGACAGTAGGAATAAAATTCCATTATT